AGCCCGCGGCCGCGCCGGGGCCAAGTCGGGAAGCGGCAGCCGGTGCGCACCTGCGGCAGCCCGCCCGCAGCCCTCCCGCTGTCCATCGGCTGCCACAGCCCCAGCGCACGGACGGACGGACGGGCGGGCGGGCGGACGGACGGACGCCTCCCCTCTCCCCGCGGCGAGCCCCTGTCCCTCCCGCAGCCGTGCCCCGGCGGCAGCAGCGCCTGGCCCCCGGGGCGGGCGGCGGGCAGCCCCTCGCTCCGTACCTGTCGCGGTGCCCTCGGCAGAGGCAGCCGCTTCCCCCCGCAGCCCCGGCGCGGCAGCGGGCAGCCAAGCCGGCTTTGTTACTACTCGGAAGAGCCGCGGCTCAGCGCCGTCGCTATAGAAACTGGCTGCGCCTCGAAGAGACACCGGCGAGTGGCGGGAGGGAGGCGGGAGCCGGGCGGAGGTGTGGGGTGAGGAGCGAGCCGTTCATTCAGGAATATCCTGGCCTTTTCCTCCTCCTCCGCCGGCAGCCGGCCCCCGGCACCGCCCAGCCCGGCCGGAGGTTGGGAGGGCGCCTCGCCGCCCTCACCTCGACTGCATCCTCGGATTAGGATGCGATCTCTCGGCCCAGAGCATCCCCGTCCCAGCCCTGCCGCCTCCTCAGGGAGATTTGTCCCCAAAACACACACATAGGTACACTCACACTCCGAGAAGGGATCCCAGGGCAGCAGGGACCGAGGGAGCACCCATGACATTAAATAACCATGGGAGTTGTCGTGCACTCTCGCTGTTGCCCTCCTGCCCTTTGCAGCTTGTTTGGTCCCAGAACATCACCACGAAACCCCTACAAAGCCAGGACCAAATTTTTAGCAACAGTTTTTCATTTGGTGAAAGTGGTTTAGCTCCACATCCTCAGGTGTGAACTGCTTTTGTGTGGGAACTTGCTTATGGGACCCCTCTGGATGGTGGCTCATGATCCAAAGGTGCCAAGGGGCTTTTCTGCAGAGCACTTAGTATTATGCAGCAGGCCCTATGGGCTGAGGAGCTGAAGTGCTTGTCCTGTGTGCTGTAAACAGGCAGGGAAGCACGGGTGATTGGAAGGAAGAGGAGGGAAAGGCTGAAAATGAATTAGGGTAAAGCAGCCAGGTATGTGGGGGGATATCACTGTGTTTGACATGTTTGAGATTTAGGGTTATCCTGAGTCGTGGGAGTGGCTTGTTTTCCTACAGCATCAGCCTACAGGGATGCCCATCTTCACATCCTTCTCCCTGCTTGACATGACTGACAAAAGCTGAGGCAGTTCCTCTGTTCTTCTTCCTTTCCTCCTCCTGCATGGAAGGCTCAGCAGTATCAGATTGTTGGATCTATCCTCTTCTAATTTCTCTGCCTGAAACATTCTTATTCTTTCAATAGTAGCAAAGTTGATAAAACATCCTTCAAAGTGCAAGACAGATCTCTCCTTCTCTCTTTCCCTGGTTCATATGGATTGAATTGGACTTTCCAAGTTTGCCATGCAGAAGAAACCTAACGTGCAAGGAGCGACTTGAAGGCTGCATTATCCATCTCAGCTACTGCCAAGCTACAGGGGATGACTATTAAGTATCCGCACTGCAAGTCACTGTGAGCTGATGAATCTGTGCCAAGAGCTGCTGGCACACTGCAGAAAATACTCTTTATGAAGAGTTTGCCAAAGACAAGAAAGACCCCCACAGGAGCTCTTCACAAAGCAGCCCAGTTTACAGCAGAGCTGCTGGCAGGCCATCACACAGCCAAATGACAGTGGCAGCACAAATGAGGGAGAGAGAAGGTTGGGTATGAAAGACAGGGGCTCACCACACATTTATCTACCAAATCAGCATGCTAAATACCAATTTGAGAGTTAAAAAAAGAAGAAAAAAAAAGTAATATAAATCCAGTCAGAGCATAGGAGAGGTTATTTTTTTTGTTCGTTTGTTCTACCGTATAGTGAATTTGCTTGCTTTGAGGAGAAAAGAGTAACATTAGAAAAGTGAAAGATCTGCAATAGCATAGCATAGGAGAAATGCTGCCTATTTTACCTGATATAAAAGGATGCTCACATTCTTTTAATCAAATGGAATATCAATATTCATAATAGATACAGTTTTTAAAAACCTTAAAACCCAAAACCCTCTAAAAACTGGAAAGCATTCCATAATCTAAAATCTTTTGGAAGAGTGTATAATGCTTTTAAGCTTAAGATGCATTTAGAAAAGAAAGCTGAGCAATGAAATGTTGCTTAAAGAAGTGGTCATTATTTTGACAGGAAGAAAGCAATGTTGCTATAATGCGTAATAATTTTTCTTACAAAATAAATTCATAGCACTTTCTCCCAGGTGGAAACACATGAAGGGAAAGAAAAATGATAGGAAAGGCACGCTTATTATCTGGTCTTCGTTAATACAAAGCACCTGAGTACTGATAGCCTTTCATGTGTTCCTAGGGCTTTTAATCTACACACAGGCTTCTAAACACCTCCCTCTCCAGGCTGAAGGTAAAGAATAGCATTTCCACAAGGGGCAGTTGAGACAATAAGGTGATATTTTAAAGGTTTTGCAGGAAAATTCATTTGGACATGTCTTAGCATTGTGCAGATAGCCATGCCTTCTAGATTACTTTTCCTATCAAGCTTTCTATATTTTACTCACAGAGATGAGCCATTTTTGTAGATGGATATCGCCTGTATCTTTAGGATAGCACTTTAGCCAAGTCATTGTTCTAGTGCTTGTAAAGTGTTTTATACTGTGTGGTTTTTGTTGCTTTTTAAAAATTTTTTAAAACTCTGCTTGAATTTTTAACTGGATTAATGTCATTTGGAACCTAACTTTTGCAATAGCATTCACAGAGTAGGGCACTAACTGCAACCATGCCAAGCTGTTGCTTGGCAGTCACAATAATTCTATACTTACAGAGAGGGGAATGAAACATACAACTATTAAACCCTTGCATTGCAGTAATAAATAAGTACTAAATGAGCAATTGCAGTTTGTAACATTTTAACGCTAAGCTATCCTATCTTTGCATTTTGACATTTTGTCCCTATATGTCCCAGTTTGGCTTAAGGTCAATATGTTTAAAATCTACATCTGGAATGCCTTCTGGCAGCAATTGTTAAGGAGTACCTACTCCTTTGGGGTAGGGTGACAAACTTCCCAAAAACAAACACTGAAAAGAATGTGTGCTGATGTGACCATGGCCATCTTCTGACTCAGCAGTGATGTGCGTGTCCTTCTCAGTGCAGCAAATTTTTTCCAGTAACTTGGTGTACTGAAGGAATTCACCGTGGGACATTGAAAAGTGTTAACATTCATGTGGAGCAGAGCAGTTTTTGATGGTTTCCCCTCTCTTTCTTAATTTGTCCTCATTCTGAACACCATTCATCCCACCAAACACTTATTCTATTGGTCTATTTGTTCCCTGGAAGCAGAGCAAAGTATCCTTAACCAGCACCAAAACCTTGCATAAAGAATTCTTCAGCTGAAGGAATGAAACACAGTCTTATTACATCATCTGTAAACAAAAGATAGGAGTAAGCTGTGAGAAAACAGAAGGAACAACATTTAATATTAATATTAATTATTATTACTATTATTATTAGGATTGTGTTGCAGCCTCTAGGCTGCACCAACCCCAGGTACTGCTTTCCCACAGAACAAAAATATGGATAATTTCTGCCCTGAGGAGTTTACCTTAGAATTAAATGTTTTTCCTGAGGGCCTGAAATGCCATTAGTTACACATTTGGGTAGTGGCAAGTGCAGTGGGACTTAATTGCAGACTTTTAGATATGTATAATATAAATTTTAAATAATGTAATAATTGTTCTGACAGGAGACAGTGCAAAACCATTTTTCTGTGTCTATAGGCTAGCAGTCCTTTTGGAAATTAGAGACTTTGGAATATGGAAAATGAGCTGAAGTGATAATTGAAGAAAGCAATAAAACATGAATATGCTAAAATAGGGGATGAACTTGTAGACTCTGTCTTTTGTAAAAGGAAAATATGCTTTCTCCAGAGCATTTTTTTTTCTTTACCTTGGAAAGAAATGCATATTTTAAACTATTGCTTGAGATTTCTGGATCTCCTGAAGAGACAAGGCTACAGCAGTACAGAAGGGCTGGAGTGCCAAAAGGACCCAGTCCTTTCCCAGCTCTGCCGGCTGCTTCTCAGAGGCAGCTCCAGATGGGCAGAGCCACTGCGGCAGTGGCAGTGGCTCAAAGAGGCTTTCAGGGATGAGGGACACAAAAGGTTTTTTGAGGTGAGGAGGGCTTGAGAGGGAGCACTGCAGTTACCAGGCCCGTGGTATCCGTGGTATGCTCAGATTCACAATCTTCCTATTTCTCTATATTTTTATTAACCACATTGCGAAGATGCTGGTGTAAAGAAAACCAAGTATGTATACATATATCCAGAAATGCAGCTGAGCATTTAACAAAATAATTATCAGAGGTTTGTAAAGGCTTCTACCCAAATTTGTGGTGGGAGAGAAAGTACTGATGAGCATTTAAAACTGTCAGAAAGCAAATATGAACTATGGCGGGGTTGACTTCCAACAGGGCCAGGCTCATGCCCACCCTTCACCGTGTGCTGCTGTGCTGAGATACCATGGCCTGGAAATTAAAGCAGTGAAGGAGCCTGCTGAGAAACAGACAACCCTTGGGTTGGGCCATTACAGACATGCCCCAATGTGTTTGTATTCATTGTGTCGGGCAGTGTAGATGCATCCCAAATCTAAACTCCTCATGGCCTCCTGTGGCTACATGTCATCTCAAGGGAGCACCTTACTTAAAAGGGCTAATTAAAAATATTATCAATCCAGAAAGGGGTAAAACGATGCAGCATCATACAGAATGCACAGTTATTTAATTTTGCTTACTGTTGAAAAGCCTCAGAGACAGTAAAGGGAAGCCTAACCTAAGGAGCTGAATAAACACCATAGCAGAAAAAGGGATTAATGTTGGGTTAGCATAACACTGGGGTGGCATATTTTGGGTTATTCACACAACCTACTGGGGCCTTAATCGAGTACAACTGCTCAGAAAAAAATTCCTGGCATTACTGTGGAAAGTTCAGTGTACATCTCTGTTAAACAAAATGCTAGTGGGAAATTAAAAATCAGTCTGGAAACACTGTAATTCCCAAAGGTTGGTTATTTGATATGGCGTGAGTACTTTATTCAGTTCTGGGAACTCAGCTACAAAATAGATACAGAAGACACAGAGATCATCTGGAGACAGGCAATGCAAATGATTAGAGGATGAGAGAAAATTTTGTATCTGGGTGGCATGAAGAAAGGACATGATAGAGCTTTATATAAAATAATGAATGGCACAAAGAAGATAAATCCTACATTTCTAGGCATCTTTTTTTTCATAATTTACGAACAAGAGTTCGTCCAGTGGAATTAAAAAGATATAAATTTGAAAGGGATGAAAGGAAATACTAGCTATTAAAGTGAAAGC